ATCTATATCTATCTATCTATCTATCTATATATATATATATATATATATATATATATATATATATATATATATATACGTGTGTGTGTGTGTGTGTGTATGTGTGTGTGTTTGTGTATGTGTGTGCATTCCTGGTGTAACAGCAAAATTGTTCAAATCGTGTAACAGCAAAATTCTCTCCAATTGTTAGATTGTGATCTGAACCGTTGTATCTTGGAAATGATTAAAGATATCTTACTGGAATTCTCCGAGATTTTCATAACACTATTGGACTTTACTTTGATCAATAAGAATATATAATTACTCTCTAATATTATAAGAAGAACTGTGATGAATTCGATCATAAATGAAAATGCCATGTTCATCTTACTTATTATAAAACGCAGATTGTGTGTGTGTGTGTGTGTGTGTGTGAGTGTGTGTCTGTGTGTGTCTGTGTCTGTGTGTGTACGTTTATATATTGGATCGGGTTTCCTACATTTTTCAACTGATTTCAACAAAACTTCACAGGACTGTGTAAAATTACATTGCGGTGGTTCTGACAGCGCCAAAATTTGGAAAAACACAATTGTTTTTGCACGAAATCAATTTGAAAACACGATAAAACATGATTCTGCCACCAGAATGAAAGGGGGGCAACTCATATCGAGTTATAATTATTATAAAACCCAGATTGTGTGTGTGTTTGTGTGTGTGTGTGTGTGTGTGTGTGTGTGTGTGTGTGTGTGTGTGTGCTCATTTATATATGGGATCGGATTTCCTACATTTTTCAACCGATTTCAACAAAACTTTTTTGGCAGGTAGTGTTTCTTATTGTCTTGCACACTTTTTTTTTTTATTTTTACATTCAGAATGCTCTAAAAATTCCATTTACAAGACAATTGTTTATAATAAAATTCTATTCAATCGGTAGACTCATAACGATTGAAAACAATGTTTTGTTTGAGTTTGGGTTTGACTAATTCGTTTAAAAAAAAACTAATTAAGACATGCGTGTCCGTCAACCTTAAACAATAATCTTTGTCAATTTTATTTTTCAGTCTTTATGATGGTTGATACTTGATCTATCTCTTACTGTTACATCTCCGGGCAATGCCGGGCTCTACTGCTCTACTATAGGTAAGGATCGGAAGCTGATGAAGGATTGAAATTGAATTCAAGTATATATATATATATATATATATATATATATATATATTATTTTCAGGATCATTTCCCAACTTATTCAAGATGATCTATGCCCTCTCTAACTTTCTAATTTTCTATCCTGGAGTAACAAGGCATCTCACAGCTTTCACGTACGATTTCATTTTCAGGTCATTTTTCACTGCTCTTTGGACTGTCATGGCTGAAACTCCTCTCTCACGTGCCAAACGTCTTACGGATTGAGTTGGATCTTTTCTAATTGATCTCTTTAGCTCTAAGTTGAAATGATGATCCCTCTTTCCGTGGTGACCTCCTGATCCAGTTTTCATCTCTACTTTTCCTTCTTTTTTAAACTTATTCACTGTTCTCTTGATGCCTCTTGAAAAGATGGAAGCCAGGGTATGAACGTTGGTACCATTACTGAAAGCCTGAATGATCTTTTTCCTCTCACCATTGCTCAGTTGGGAAGACCTAGTGGTCTGTCACAAAACGATTTTAACCTGTTCTCTTTCTAGCTGAATAACTCAAACGGTTTTTCAGTGATTCTTACGACAAATGGTGTCAAGATGGCGAAACGTCTTATCTGAAAACATGGAAAAAAGAAACTTAGTTCAGTTTTTTTTTTTTTAAATGGAACATTTTGTGAGATGGACAGTCATGCTATTATACGATTTACGATTTGGACAATTTTGTTGTTACACCCGGCATATATATATATATATATATATATATATATATATATATATATATATATATATATATATATATATATTTGTATTTTCAGCGAGCATGTGGCAGATAGCTCAATTAAGCCTTATTTTAATACGTATGTAGACCTACCAAATTCTATCAGCAACATACTCGTAATTGTTCGGTCCACTCGTCAGGAGCTTTCAGCGAATGATTGCGGGTTTTCTCTTTTTCGTTATTTTTATGCTAAGTTTGATGTAATTAATTTATGCGTTAATTGGCATGCTATTATTATTGGGTGTAAGTTAATATTTTTCTTTGTGTGTCTGTGTGTGCGTGTGTGTGTATTCCCGCGCGCGTGCGTGTGTATGCGTGCGTGTGTATGCGTGCGTGTGTATGCGTGCGTGCATGTGTATACATGTGTATGTGTCAAATGTGGTTATTTCTCAATTAGTTTAGTGGTTTTTATTTAGATATTGAAAAATTTTGTAGGATGCACAGTTTTGCTGTGACACGATTTGAACAATTTTGCTGTTGTACCCGGTATACACCCGTACTGGAAATAGACTTCCCTTTTTTTCTTTTTTTCAACAATGCATTACGTCTATCGGCCAACGTCACTAGAGATTTCGAAAATAAAATCTCTGGTAACGTTCGAACCAGATCCCCCTTTGTAGGAGAAACCGTCATTTAATCCGGCCTCCCCTGGACAGCTCGGCCAAAGAGACCTAACAGCCAAACAATGGTCATTTACCCTTTTAAGGAAATCACCTTTTCTCGTTCATATTTTCTTATCCGAAATCTAAACAAAGAAATTCCTAAAGAACTTTTAATTTGACATTTTATTACTTCCAACATTATTATTAGTAGATGCCAGTAATTTAAATAGAAGCCCTGCTTAATGTCGCTGAAAATTTATTTGGCTACACAACCATATATCTAATAATTTCACCAAAAGACCACATAAAGTAAGTCTGCATAAGAATTTCACAAATATATTTGGACTTAGAAGATACTTCGGTTTGCCAGCCTTCAGTCAGAACTTCTGCATTCACTCGATTTAGTCCTGTTCAGGCAAATATAGAATATGGGATTAATTTGTCGTTTGAGGAAATTCCGATGCGTCTACACGATTTACGTCATTACATATGGCCTAAAAATATTGTACAAGAGTCGGTTTGATTTTTGAAGAGAGAGACTGAAATTAAGACAGTTCAATAATAAGTAATCAACATCTAAGTATTAATGTTAACGGGCTGATATATATATATATATATATATATATATATATATAGAGAGAGAGAGAGAGAGAGAGGGAGTGAGAGAGAGAGAAATAGATAGATAGATAGATAGATGTGAATAATGATAGATAGATAGATAGATAGATAGATACATACATACATACATACATACATGTGAACAGAAAGATAGATAATGAACAGATATATATATATATATATATATATATATTTATATATATATAGATAGATAGATAGATAATGAACAGATATATATGTGTGTATATACATGTAGATAGATAGATAGATAGATAGATAGATAGATAGATAGATGTGAACAGAAAGATAGATAATGAACAGATATATGGGTGTATATATATATATATATATATATATATATATATATATATATATATATATATAGATAGATAGATAGATAATAATGAACAGATATATATGTGTATATACATGTAGATAGATAGATAGATAGATAGATAGATAGATAGATAGATAGATAGATAGATAGACGCTCCTTTTGGGTGAATATATTTGTTCAATAATAAGAAACCCTCATCTGAACTATGGTAGAATATTATTTTGTATTTAAAAACCAAATTCTTACTCTTAAGTTAATAAAATGTCCGCCAAGCTTAGAATAGGCCGACGTCCATAAAAGAACAAGGTACATGTCAAAAGGAAACTATCGGAGGAATGTTTGCTGACTTACTTATGGCTGATTAATGTTTATTGCTTATCATCCTAAAAAAATGTCTACCTAGAGACTCCACAAATGTTAAAAGCTAAGCACGAACAATTTCAACACAAACTCAAGCATAAAAACGAACAATGTCAGCCTATAGATAAAAAGGTATAAGCCCAATCAATTTTTGTTTACCAATAGGTTTCGTTGATATGACATAGATAGATAGATAGATAGATAGATAGATAGATAGATAGATAGATAGATAGATATGAACAAATTGAAATAGATAGATAGATAGATAGATATGAATGAACTGAAATAGACAGACAGATAGATAGATAGATAGATAGAATATGAATGAATTGAAATAGACAGACAGATAGATAGATAGATAGATATGAACAAATTGAAATAGATAGATAGATAGATATGAACAAATTGAAGCAAAAGTATGAACTAACAACAGAAATTTCGCGCACACACACACAAACATATATACACACATATAAACATGCACACACGCACAAACATATATACATACACACAAACACGCATATATATATATATATATATATATATATATATATACACCCACAGATATATTAAAAGAGAGATGATGAGAGAGTCTTATGTTTAACTTCCCAAAAGGAGGTCAAATAGAGTAAGAAGACTGTGTAGCGCCTATCTTCCCACTCTTCAAAATCCACGACAGTCAGTAAACGTAACTAACTCAGCTATCAAACAGATTTCATAAGAAATGAGTTTAATTTTCTTTTTGTAATAAAAAGACACACTTGCGCACACAAAAGAGGAATTTGACTTAAGAAAAAAAAAAAAAAAAAACTTTTACCTACCTTGATGAAGTGGGAAAAAAATCATTTGATTCGATTTGTTATTATTTTTGTTTTCTTGTTTCTTGTCTGTCGCCTCGGAAAGACACTTGCCACTCGCCACTCTTTCTGGTCGACATTTTTACTCCCTTTTGCCTTCGTGCTGATTTGTCGGCCTTCAAAGTAAACACAGAAACCATAGGAGACCAGCGTTACACTCATAAAAACCAGTACGTACACGCATATGGGCTGCTTTTACTTTTGTTGTTGCTTTTCTGGGTTTGTTTATTTTTGACGCCATGTCCAGATAATACAAACAGATTGTTTGCTTTACTTTTTTAATTTTTTTTGCAATGTCTTTAACTTTTTCTACCCGATTTCTCTGACCCTTATTTTATGTTAATTATTTTTGTTTTTCTTTTTTCTGAAAGAGTAGGCAAAAGTCAATAAAAGCGATAGATCCATGCAAAAGATTTACTTCTTATGTTCTCCTTTATTTATCAGCCACGCTCTCCACATCTATCTATCTATCTATCTATCTATCTATCTATCTATCTATCTATCTCAGTCTGTTCATATCTATCTATCTATCTATCTCAGTCTGTTTATATCTATCTATCTATCTCAATCTGTTCATATCTATCTATCTGAATTTGGTCATATCTATCTATCTCTCTATCTATCTATCTCAATTTCTTCATATCTATCTATCTATCTATCTATCTATCTATCTATCTATCTATCTATCTATCTATCTCCATTTCTTCATATCTACCTATCTATCTGAATTTGTTCATATCTATCTATCTATCTATTTCTGTTCGTGTCTATATATCTCATTCTGTTCATATCATTCTCTATATAATTCTTTTCATATCTATCATTCTATCACTCTATCTCATTCTGTTCATATCTATCTATCTATCTATCTATCTATCTATCTATCTATCTATCTATTTGTGTTTTTTCATTAATATCTGGAATAATATATTTGATGTTCTCTCATCCCCACCTCTCCTAAGAAAATATTTTTACTATCAGTATATCTATCTATTTCTGTTTTATTTTTTTAATCGGTATCACCCCATGCAAGGCATTAAAGTCACTAAGACACAAGGGGTTACTGGATATGGACGAATTAAAAGCAGAGGAACATTACTAAGGCACGAAATCAAAAAGAGTCATCAAGAGGACAGTAAATAGCGATTGACATTGAATTTAAACTTTTGCAGATTATAATAAAAGTAACACTTCGACAACTTGCCGTGACGCCTGTATTACTCATTGAAGACTGACACCAAACGCCTTCTTCCTCTTACCTTTGACCTGGAGTTATTTATAGTTATTTATAGTTATGGACTAGTTGATATAGTCACAATATCCTCCCTTTTGAGATTAATACTTTATATATATATATATATATATATATATATATATATATATATATAAGGCAGGATGTGTGTGTGTGTGTGTGTGTGTGTGTGTGTGTGTGTGTGTGTGTGTGTGTGTGTGTGTAACGAATGCACGGCCGCAATTTTCGACGGATTTGCACCAAAATTTACATGCACATGCTTCTACGGCAGTTTTCATGTAGTTTGCGGCCATTTTGTACTGGCCAGATTGAGAGCCTATAGCTGGCTGCCACAAATAGGCAGGAAGATTTTATTGGCCAGCGTGAGAGCCAACAGCTGACTGACGCGAATGTTAACTAGCATGCTAGCACACAAAAAAAATCGATAGCTGCATTCGTCACAAGTGGGAAAAATTTAAATCTGCATGTCACTTTACTCCTATTGGCTCATTCGCTTGCTTAAAATCAACGTTGATTCTGATTCCGCAAAATTGGGTTGGGTGTGAAAAAAGTATTTGTTGTTAACATTCTTTTTTCATTTGGTTTTTCCAGTTACGAGTCCTTTTTTAAAGCTGATCGTTTTGTGTTCATTTTGTTTAGTTCTTTTTTCGTAACAGATTTAATGTTTAGTATAGAGCTTAGAAAAAATTTGCAGTGTGAGAAGTAAGGCATGTAGGAACATAAACACGGCAAAGGGCACTCCTTTAAAGGCAAGGAAGGGCGAAAATATTTTAAGTCAAGTGATAGCGATTGCTGTATGAGTCGTCCGATTTTTGAATCAAGCACGGGCAACGCCGGGCCATGCTGCTAGTATATGTATAAAAACTTTATAGACAAATTCAAACCCGAACTAAATAGATCGTAACCCCACACACAAAAAACACACAACATGCACACAGGGTGACCAAATACAATGATCAAATCGCTCACATACATGGACGCACACTCATATACGGGAGACACGAGGAGATATATATATGTGTATGTACACATACATACATTTATGTATGTATATGCGGATGTTGACAACTTAAGAAGTACGTGTGTGTGTGTGTGTGCGTGTACGTGTGTGTGTGTGTGTGTGTGTGTACTGGTTCCATGTAGCTTGGGAAATATGTGTGTATATGTGTGTGTGTACTGATTACTTGTGGTGGGATAGTGTGTATGTGCGTATGTGTGTGTATGCGTGTATAGGTACAAATAAGTTTACGAATTCCTCGTAGTAAGACAGTATGTATGGAGGGGAAATATACGCACGCATATATACACGCATGCTGACAGGAACACACCAAAATGGAAACAGATCCAAGAGCACATAGGGGTCACTAAAACATTAAAAGATTAAATGCCGATAACTACTCGCTGGACAAACCTTAATTGTTTTATGACCCTTCGCGCAGAACTCTTCATTGACAATTCTAGAAAGAAATTCGGATTACCAACACACAAACAGAGAATGTCTCATATGGAGAATATTTCACATTGAACATGAAGAAAAATTAATTATTTTTAATAATATGTAGAAATCTCCACTTTTACCTGAAGACGGTCGCGAGACCAGAAACACGTGTCGTAAAATTATGTAAAACAAAGCATAATATTTTTTCTAAATAAATCCACATTACAACCAAAAAAAATTTGCGGCACCTCTCTTCTTTTTAATATATATATATATATATATATGAGTATTAGTATCTACCTCTCTTCTTTCTGGAGAGTTCGTCAATGTTCTTGACTTTGTAGCGTTTCCGTCTCGGATCCACTTTCATTTCTTCATTACGCTTTCTTTTCCTGGAATTTGTATACATAGGTTTCACGACTTGGCACATCGAAAACATCATATAGCATTTTTATCGGTTCTTCCAATCTTTCAGTTCTGTTATCAATGAACCTTATTTCAATTGATTATGGTGCCTTTTATGTTCAAATCTTTTCCCTTTTACCATGGAAATCAACTTCCCGATTTTTTGCTGATATTATGCCGTCTTCCTATGTTTCTTTGACATACATATATATATATATATATATATATATATATATATATATATATATATATATATATATATATATTGTTCTCTTAAAAATTGAGGTGAAACACACAGAAAAGGGAGAGCGACGGGAAGAAGTAAAAAAGAACGAATAATGCCATTGCCTCAAAACCCACAGCATGACAGGCAATATGTAACTTCCGGAAGAAAATGCATCATGAAAACGTCTCTAAAAGACACCGAATCTCCGATGAATGCGTGTCTCGGCAAAAGCAAATTGCTTTATTTAACTTTTGGCGCCGTTTTTGTTATCCGTGTTTTTCGACTTGGTAATAACTTGTCGAAAAACGATTTTACTTTTCTAGCAATCATTTTTGCGGCCATCTACCTTCGTTCTTTGTTACTTTCTTTCAATTGATCGTCCTGGGTAAGACGTTAAACTACATCCACGTCCTGGGTAAGACGTTAAACTACATCCGCGTCCTGGGTAAGACGTTAAACTACATCCACGTCCTGGGTAAGACGTTAAACTACATCCGCGTCCTGGGTAAGACGTTAAACTACATCCGCGTCCTGGGTAATACGTTAAACTACATCCACGTCCTGGGTAAGACGTTAAACTACATCTGCGTCCTGGGTAAGACGATAAACAACGTCCAACAGCAAGGCTTCTGATCAGGAGGTTTTGAGGAGCGTAGAACCACCTCTTAATCGCTAGTGTTCCCAGGTCCACCGTGACCTGGGGTGGTAGCACCTGTTAGGGTCCCAGCTATGGGCAAATGGTTAACTATTACCAGCAATACAATTTTGAAGGAAAAATATTACCAGAAACAGATTTTTGACAAAACAAAATATAATATATATATATAATTTTGTCGCCATTGAGTAGCCCATTCGGGTTGGTGTGCCATAAAACAAAATAAACCAAACCAATCTAAACCAAAGAATACATATTCTATTCATACGAATCTATCCTAAAAATGTTGTCGGCATTAAATAACCCATTGAGGTTGATATGCCGTAAAAAAACAAAATAAACCAAACCAATCTAAACCAAAGAATACATATTCTATTCATACGAATCTATCCTAAAAATGTTGTCGGCATTAAATAACCCATTGAGGTTGATATGCCGCAAAAAAAAAATAAACCAAACCAATCTAAACCAAAGAATACATATTCTATTCATACGAATCTATCCTAAAAATGTTGTCGGCATTAAATAACCCATTGAGGTTGATATGCCGTAAAACAAAATAAACCAAACCAATCTAAACCAAAGAATACATATTCTATTCATACAAATCTATCCTAAAAATGTTGTCGGCATTAAATAACCCATTGAGGTTGATATGCCGTAAAACAAAATAAACCAAACCAATCTTTCAATTGCTTTTTTTATTTTCGCAATAAAGTCGTCATTTTCCGTTTTTTATTTTATTTCTTCAAGGGAGATAACTCTCGTACTACGTTGAACAAATTTTTTTTTTTTTCATTTTTACAATGAACGCGCCTTCAAATAGTTTTGCATTTTAGATATTAAACTTTATAAGCCATCCGAATATTCTAAATTTTTAGTTAGTACTCCATCGTAAAATCATAGATGGTACACCAGCGTTGTAGTCTATTAGCTGTATACATCAGTATTCCTTTCTTTGAAACATATATTGTTAATAGAGGTAGGTGGTTTGTTTGAAAACTAAAATTTCTTCCATGAATAAATTTATGAAATTTATTCACAGCAAATATAATTGCAAAAGCCTCTTTTTCTATCTGGCTGTAATTTTTCTCTACTGGTAGAAGCGAGATGAAACATGAACGAAGGCTATAATTTTACAGCTATCGTATTTGTGTAAAATCACAGCTCCAACAGCGTCCTCACTAGCATCTAACGCCACTACTATTTCTGCTTTTGGATTGTAGTGTGCTAATGATAAATCTAACGGAAGTCTTTTTTTTATTTCGTCAAACACCTTTTGAGAATTATCATTCCAGCTCCATTTTACTCCTTTTTTTAAAGTAGATCGTTCAATGGAGCTCTCAAATTATGCATATTATGTACACTTAGTAATTAGGTAGTAATTAGTCAGTCCCTGAAAAGCTTGTAACGTAGTCACGTTTGTTGGTGGAGGAATATTTTTAATTGCACTTGCCCTCGATGGATCTGGTTGACGACCATTTTTATCAATAATTATACCAAGGTATTTAATTTTCAGCAAAAACAATTCGGATTTTTCTTCACTGAGCTTGAATCCGTACTTTGCTAGTTTTTCTAAAATTGTTTGTCACAGACCCAACATGTTGTTCTTTAGATACACTTTTGATTAAAATGTCGTCCAGATACGCCACTGTGAAATCCATAACCTGTTGAAAAATAGCTGGTGCCACCTTTATACGAAAAGGAAGTCTGTTAAATTTATAGAAACCTCTGTGCGTATTTAGTCGTAAATTCTGAACATCCATTTTCAATCTGAATATGTAAAGAGAGATCCAGCTTTGAAAATATTCTTCCGCCGTTTAACATCAAAAAAGTTCCTCTGGACTTGGTAAAGGGTAGGTATTCATATCCGCCTTGAATTTTAAACACCCACCCAGTTCATTTGACAGAACATCTGGAAAACATTTTTTTAATTCT